ATAATTGGACAACTTCTTAATAGGATTAAAATAGTTTACTATAATCATAAAATTACCGGGTAGACCGATGATAGACAAAAATCCTTCGAATAGACTCTGTTTTGATTGCATGTGAAGGAAGTACAGATTGAGGATTGTTCATGACAGGTGTACAGTTTTCAACAAGAAAGGTAAGCCAGTCAGTAAGGTTGTGAAATTATATCGAATGAGGTGGCTGGGAAATACATCACGCATGTCTGGTCACCATCTGCTTTGATGCCCAACGTTAGTTACAGTTATATTAGTTTACAAAACGTTGAAAGTGTTCAAACGAAAACACGGTAATAATCTATGAAATTAATGGTAGTTTACCTGTACAGTGTAAGAAAGTGCTTCCTACCTGATTGAAGTTTATGAGACATTAGGGATTGATGTGTAGAGCTGGTTGACAGTGATGTAACTGTATGCAGTCATTATGATCTTTTCAGTCTTAGACGTCATATTAAGCTTCATTTTTCGTCATATCCTTCGATATAACCTCGCTCTTTATTTTAATATCACTGCATTGCTTTTATCCCTCCTTTTCAGTGGCATTCTCAAGCATAGCAACGTAAAAAGAAAAGCCAGTTTTGTCAGAATTTTAGGTTTCTCTGACGTATTTAACTGTCTTGAACCCACAGCTTGTTTAAATACAGTTGAGTGAGGAGGAAACGATTGTCACTTAAGAATACTTAATAAATTTTCAAAGTTGAATTGGGATTAGATTCCACTTAGTACTTGATGATAACTTCAGCTCCTACAAAATCTTTTCTACTAATCCTCACCGCTATCATTAATTCTCAAGTGGCGATTATTATTACAGTTTTAGAAAATTTGACTCTGATTTCGATATCATCTCGCGTTCTAGACATGCTTAATTTGTCTCTTGTTCGGTATATAAATGAATCCTCAGTTTCACATATGCACGTAGGGGCTTATCAGCAGATAAACAGACAGGAAACTACTTTGGTTTAAAAGCTTTCAACTGAAGAACTAACGGTGTATCCCATACAATTGTTAGGTTAGTAATGTTCAGTGGAAAGCTGACAGCTTGGTGAAGTGGTCGAGCTAGCATAACACACTGACCCAACGAGGTATGCTAGTGAAACAATCTTTTCCTCGAGGTCCCACCACACCAGAAAAGTATGTTAGACAAAAAGCAGTTGCCGTTATGGTAAAAATCACTACTCTATGATGGTGGCCCGAGGGAAAAGTCATACCGCCGACTAGACGGGTGTGTAACAGCAGTAAGATATTTCCTGCAGATAATCAGGATTATCATACTGATGCTGCTTTTCCTATAGATTGGCCGGAAAAATAGCACATATTCCTACTCTTTAGTAATTCGGAACCGGTAGCGTAGATTCACAGCCAAATTTAAAGAAACAAATGTAGACCAAAAACTCCACAATGACCATGTGTGACAGGCTTCAGCCAGATGTTTCTTGGGCTCTGCGGCTAGATACCATTATTATTTATTTTCCAGGCACTTCAGGAAGAAATGGACAGTTGGAAAGTTGAAACCGTCCCTACAACCCTTTCAGTACTGTCCTCTAACTACTAGTCGACAGATCTGCAAACAACTGGTTGATTTGAGGATAATTTTTATCAATAAACCATTTGTTTCATATATTCACTTCAAAACGAACACAGCAGTGGCACAATCAAATAGTCTACATAATGCTTACCTATTCACATAGATCTACTTTTAATGATTCTAGTTATGAACAGAAAAAATAACTATAACTGATCAGACAAACACAAAACACTCATTGGCATGTTGCACAACACTCCCACTGTTCATCAAGTTTGGTAAAGACCCCTTTTACAAAATTATTTCGACTGAATTCCATATGACAAACTATGCTAAACATCTTAGTTGTAAAACTGAAATAATAATTCCGTTCCCAAGGTGAGGAAATGATATTCGGGAATAAGTATGTATTACTCAGTTAAACTGAAATAATGAAAGTAAGTAAAAATAATCTTTATAAAATTGAATACACCAGGTTGATAGTATTCATCTCAAACAACTAAAATCATTAAAAGAAATTTAGTCACTCCTCGATTAAGTAAATTAATCTCATTTTATTTTCCATTAGGTTAGCTTTCGTTACTTTTATGAATCAGGTGATTGATGCCTCTCAACTGTTTTCAGTTTATGTAATTCTCCCCAAACTAAATTATGAACATAGGTATTTTATGGTCTACCTTCGTGCTAGGCCATCAAAATTCCTAAGATTATTGCATACCGACTTACAGGCGAAGAGAATCAGGCTGGAATAACATTAAAAACCTACCTATATAATGAGAGTCACGTCCGTTTTCTTTAAGTTCTTTGAGAGAATCAAGTGTGAGAAATGGATATTGAATATTCGCTCTGCAACGTCCAACATATTTGTGCACTATGCAATGACTCATACTTACTGTGTGAGTGCTAATAATACTACCTGAGTGTCCAAACTAGAAAGGTGGAACAATTTGCATTGTGTCATCTTGCATGAAGATTTTACAAACTATAAGATATCCATTATGATGAATAGACAACACTTTTAATTCCCACATTAAGTTTAATCGCACTTACCCATTAAGCTTTATTGTAAACTTTACTGTAAATCATAAAATCTTAACTGGTAATATTGTAGGGGCTGATATTTCAAGACGATAAAACCCGTTTGCATTATAGGACAAGCAGTTCTAGGTCTAACTGCAGTGAAGTAGCAGTGTAGTTGGTTTGCCAGGTTTCTCATTACTCGTGAATTGAGGAAGCAACAGTTAACTGTTTTACCGAAGTCGGAGACAAATGTACTAACCCCGGCGAAATAAATGAAATCCGAACAATGGCAATACATATGTTCGTTTTTAATTACTAATATATTGAGTAATAAACACTGAGCGTACACAAGGCAAAAAGGTTTTCTATAATAAGTCTCTGTATGCAGGACAGAACCGCTTCTAACAATACACAGTTTAAGAAAAAGCTCACTTCAAATGCTCATCTAATGAGGATTTTTTATCACCGGCTGATAGGTGCTGTTTTATGCACAAAAGTAGCCTTCTTTAATGACCACAGAAGTAATTGTTGATGATCATAAAATTGTAATTCAAAGTCAGTTCTATCTCAGTTTATGAAAAGTACGATTAATGCATCTCATTTTTGAAATTTCATGCATTTTAAAAGAGTGTTTTGACTTAGGTGCAAAAACATGATGTTCTTCTTCTGTCCGGAAATATGCTTTATAGTAAGAATAGATGTCACTACCAGCTTAAATGTTTTATTTAACCCAACTCAAATCATAAAAATAATATGAAACTTTTAACTTCCAATATAGGATAACTGAGCGTTCAAAATTATGTCCTGAGAGCATTTTGTGAACCGTAACAATGATTTCGAAATACTCCTTTGATATATATTTCATGGTACCTGAAATGAAGTTACATTTTTGAAAACATGGAAGCATCATAAGGCGAATTCTACTGTGACTTCATAACTTCCACTGAGTAGTTGCACAATAAGTGGGGGCTAGATTTAAAAACCATTATCCTGGACAGTAGTCGCGTAAAAATTGGTTTCTTCTGAGGTCAGAAGTCTTACTTGAAGCAAGAAAGTTCAATTCTCAAGGCTGATGTACTCAAAACACTAACTTTTGAAACGGAAGCACAGAATGTCTAGTTTGCAAACTTTGGTTATACATGAATAGGTAAATTTGTGGCTGTTTAAGAATCTTTCACTGTATATAAGTAAGGTTTGACTGAATTAATTCGTTCCGCTTACACTTCGGAAAATACTGAATATGTGAATTTAAGAAAAAAAGTGGCTAGTATACTTTAAACCTACAATCTGCCTAACTTGTACTTTGTATAATATGGAAAAGCTGCTGTGAAAAACTGCCAAACCAATTTATCATGACAAACCAATCGATTACAGAACAGTTATCTTCCGCTTATTGACTCCATTTGCCAGGTTATAAGGGGGATTAAGCACACATATCCACGACCTTCATCGACGTTGCTGAAAATAGATCTTCTTATATTCTTTACGTTATGTGCTTTACAGGAACACTTGCATACTTCAATTTTTACTTGCACATAAACAGCAGATGTGTGGACTTGAACCGTGGTCCAAAAATATTTGACACGAGTAAATTATCCGTTAAATTAGATTAGGATAATAATTAAGTGCTTTTGGATACCACAGAAGAAACATGAAAGAAATTATCTGGAAGTAAATGTAAAAAAGAGGCCACCATCCATGCGCACAAAGATGCGCATACAAAACTGGATAGAATTTGAACACTCCAAAATGAAGAAATGCAAAAAGCCCTAAAAGTGGTCTGAAAGCGGTTAGTGTCTAGTACAAAACCTAAAGACCAGGCTAAATTCACTAGTGTTTTCTACACTCTGTATAAAAAACACTATTTTGTCAAGCTCTGATATTTTTCTCTTGATAAAGTAACTTCAACACTTCCAGTTGTGAAGACCTACATTATGTAAAAATTGGTGTGGTATGTAAAGAATGGCTCACATCTTTCATGGACAAGGTGTAGTTCAAAAGCAAAGGCAGAAGAATCCCCATAAGGTTAAAGTATGTTCCATGAAAATTGGTATGCACCTTGAAAAAGGTTTAGCTCTTCCATATTTATTTGAATCTTTGGCGATCTTGTACTTGTACATCAAAGTCTACTACGTTTTTTGCCCTAATGGAAATAATCTTCATCTAAGTCTCTTACATGAGCTTCCTGTACTCACTTATCCTTGGAAAAACCACACCTGCAAATTTAACCAACACCCAACCGCCCGTCGGGCTAACGAGAGCTACTGCAGTGGAGTGAGTAGACCAACTATATCGGAATCCAACAAAGATCTGGAACCGTTTCGCAAGACCTAGTAGCGAGCGCAAAGAAGCCAATTGGTGTACACTGGTTTGTAAAAAGATATTGGATATTGGATACTCACCTACTACAGTAGGCGAGGTTACCTACCTTGCGAAATTTCTGGCGAGAAAATCCTTCCGACAGATTTCAACCATCCCCGGGAAATGGTTTGCGCGTTGGTACGGCTTCAGAGTCATCAGCTTTTCCAGTGGCAAAAAGTTGTCACACCATATTAAAAACCTTAGCTGCAAGTAATATCCATCCGAAAACTTACTCATCACTGATATTATCATTTTCAACAATCGTGAAACCTGCCTCCTTAACACACTGTTTCACTGAAAGCTAGTTAGCATAAACCTATATTTCACCTATTCATATCGTGTATCTTTAAGATTTGCTGTAATTTTTGCTTTCTTTCTATCCCTTATGATTTTTAATGCTTTACTGTTATGTATTAATTTAGCTCTCCCATCATGCATACGCTTATGTTTATCGATGTATGATAATACACTTTCTGTATCATTTAGCTCAAGTCTTTATTCAAGTAACCTTTGTCCAACATCTCGAGAACGGTGTTCTTTCAAACTTTCTCGGAATCGTAAACACTCTTCATGTTCTGCGCTACTATGTTCAGCTGCTATGACATTGAAAGTAGAGTAATCAAAAGAACAAAGTATTTCCCATGGATTACCTCCTTCATAAATCAAGTTACCGTTTTAAAACGTTATGACAATCAAATTGACTTACAAGCTAAACACGTCAGCTTGCGATCTTTTCTCATTTTCCAAGAGTTACCGCGGTTATCGGGTTCATTTACTGTGCTCATCAACACAACTAAAATAACCTTCACAATATAGGATTCTGCACCAGTGAAAGCTCGTGATATGTGTTTCCCAGTTTCTGTCACAAGAGATGACTAGATTATCAGTGATCTAATGCACACTAGCTTTTGGAAACAATGTCAGCCTTTTTAAAATGCTCATAATCGAAATCATACTGGCTACTACTTCATGATAAGGCGCCTCAAGACAAGTGTGTTGAGGTATCCTTTCTTTGGAAATAGATTCCACTCTTAACGAAGTGAGAACTGGTAAACCAGGTGCTTACTGTAAATCTGAGAATAAAGTTGAAACTGCGACTTCCAATATCCGTTTAACAAGCGTGTGTAAAGCAGTCCATTTCTTCATGCTTGATTCTAGGTACTGGGGACGGTTCCAGAGCTTTGATGGATTCGGATGCGGCTGGTCAAGCCACTCGTCTGCTACAGCTCTGGTATACCCAACAGGTAGTTTGGTGCCCACTCATTAACTTTGGGGCTCTGTGCAGTTGGGTTCTTCAAATGTCAAGATAGATGTTCTGACCGGTCACAAGACAGTTAGGAAGAGTGAAGAGATAACTTTGGAAGAGATGTGTGTGTGAGTAAATGACAATGAAAGTTGAAATGACGGGGTAATCTACGGACACGCAAGTATGACCAGAGGGGTGCAAAGACTCTCAGAACTAAGGCGGGGGCGGTTAAATCATAGCAAATAAGAGGGGTGAGAAGGACTTAAATGGCCACAGCAGGAAAAGAATCGGTGTATAATTAGTTGTCACGATGGTGTGACAGCGGCCGATTCTTCATTCTAGTTCGGTTTCCGAATAGATCAGAGTAAACCATGGGTCACCGAGTAACTGTAAAGCCCTTGCCTGAGACTACCAACAGCTGGGGCACAGACTACCCCGCTGGTGGTGCACCGAAATGTCCGCAGACCCGAAGGGAGAAGTCCGAACTCACATGAGCCTTTGACCTTCGGTGGGCAATTCTCTGTTTAGGTTTCCGCGAGGATCACCATAGTGGTCACTCGGTGGTATTCCTCCGTTCGGGTTGTTCAGTATTATGTGGGCCATTGTTAAGTCGCCTCGTAATCTTCGGCAGCTGGGACAATATTGGCCTAGGTCCTTTAATATACCCTGGCATGATGTTCGATGCATCCCTACAACACCCCTCGTGGTTTGCCCCTGAAGTTTCCTCAGGCGCTTCGAGACCCCTTTCAGGCATAGTGGTGCTGAGACGTCATGGGCCCTCGGGTGGGTTCGTACGCAGATCTTGTGAGTTTTAAAAAGAGATATGGAATGGGGCCACTTGGTCGTCTACCCATAAGTGTGGCGCCTGAAAGTAGTCAAACCAGTTCAGATATCTTCGTCCCAGACTGTTTGGTAGCAATTGATAGTAAGAGCTTTATTTACAGATTTTCCCAGGAAAAATGCAGTTTAGGGCTTACGTTTATCACCTGGTCACTTGCACGCGAATGGCCAGACAGCAATAACCGTGAAAGAAACAAGCGTTTATAGTTGATAACCAAGGGTTGGCAAGCACTTTTAAGAACAAAGTTTTGATAGCCTCCGGAGCTAAACGTTATGTCAGTACGTCAAAATGAAATGTCTGACAAAATGCAGGTTTGGTCGGGAGACCAGAACATTTTTCACCCCAATCCTAGGCGCGCCCGGGAGAAAGGAAATTAGTCACGGTTTTCGAGATAATTTCCCCTTAGGTAACGAATTTATAACATATAGAATGGTTAGAACGACTGAAGAAAGGTGTGGTCAAGCGAGTCACCATATCATTCCGAAGTGACATGTGGGGTCACCCGAAAATCCGGTGCGTGCATTTATTCTATTTCCAATCGAAATCTCATTATGTCAGGTGGTCAGTTGCGCGCATCCTCTAGCGTTTGATTTCAAGGACTGACGCTTGCCGTATTCAGTACTTTTAACGGGCCTGCAGAAACCAATTGATTTCTTCACGCGAACCCTAGATTTTTCGGGATGGTTTTCGGTCTCTGATGGGCTCTGATTCGGTAATTCTGCCCGTTGGCTTGCGGTAGGTGTTGTTTAAATTTGTAGGGGGAATGTGCGATTTGCCTTGTAATCTAAAGATTACTAGTCGGGCTTCATGGGCATATACCCCGACCTATCGCCTCACATCATATGCCTAGTCGGCTGCCAGTTTTGCACTACCTGTGGTACTCAGCCAGTTCTTTGTACAAAGTAATCAGGGACTTTGCTCATTTTAACGATGGCTTGTCGACACTGTTTGCTTGTAAAATCACTTCCTTATGAAACAGAGCTCATACGCCTGTCAACAAAGTTGTCCTGTTTTCTCTATCTTTAATTTATGTACGTTATAACCTGTACGGATTTCATTTTCTGCGGAAACGTCAGAAATTTGACTGTCTACTCCACTGGAGTTTATCTGACATATTTTTGGCGGATCATTTATTCTCGGTCCATTTTGCTTGATTCTATCTCGGCGAATTCGGAACCTGGGAAGGAATTAACATGACCAGTGAATTTAAGGGCCGTTCGGGAGCTCCAGTGTCAGAAAGAAGCTGCGACAGTGTAAACGAACGCATTTTTTCGGTCCCATAGACACTAGTCTTTTACCACCAACTTCCGATACATTCTGATGGAATTTCTGCTTCCGTACTGAAGAAAAACTTTTCTGGTCGCCCAAAAACCCGTTACAGAACTGCTACCTGAGCCTGAAGGCGACATCCATCGCTCGAAGCCTTGAGCACACTTATTTTGATACTTTCCGACAAAACAACTTTTCAAACGTGGCAGGAAAGAGTTAGCAACCCTTTCAGATGCACAATATAACCTTGAGTACAAATAAGAAGTGGACTCATTGGAATACGTAATAAACATTCCCCCTTTATCAGGGACGAACAGTCACTTGGAGGCTTTCTCCAGGTCTTCTTCAGGCGACTAAATGCCTCGACACGTAAGTTAAATTGGAGGAAGAATGTTGTTGCTGGACCAAGGGACTAAAGAATCATTGATCAGTGTACAGCGTAGGTTACCATGCACCTGATGCATACATACACAGTTCAGAGCAACTCATCAGAGAAGCTTTTCTTTTAGATGCTCCCTTTTAATATCTTTACAGTCGTATTTCTAGTGTAGAGCCACACACGTCCCCAAAATCAATGGCCTAGGGTTTGACAAGATTCAACACTGATGCTGACCTCGATAGTTCAGCTGGACTCACCAAGCTGGAGGCACCCGCTCAAGCACCCTTGCCATTTGGCATGCTGTCGTGTTACGTTGCACTGCTTGTATTCGACTCTCCAGTCAGTTGGAACGCATCGGTATCTCGGCACAACCACCCAAATATACCATTCCATCCGACCACGCTATCGTCTTCTTCCTTGACATCGTGTTAGTGGGTGTATAACAAGTCCGTTTAATTAGTGATTGGTCTTTGCGTCTGCCAAGTTCGCACCAAGACAAATCCTAAAACGGCTACAGTTAGTGAAAAGGCCTGTTGCTGGCTTGTGTGCTAACGTATGGTCACCATGAAGGAGTGTTCCGAGAGCAAATGGTAAACTGCCTCCAGAATCAGAAGTTCATTGTGCAACCCCAGGACTGATTGGGAAGGGTGAGTGACCAACTCAGATGAAGATATTGAAGCTTAATCAAATCACAATTGGAGCAGGATATCACGAAATTTTGACGGAAAATCGGAACAGACGCAAACCTGATGTGGCAACGTAAAGCTCAAGTAGCTGGGATAAACCATCGAAAAGAGTAAAATGAATACTACAGTGGCCGAGATTATTGAGAGGAAATCGTGATCGCGGGCACACAAGAGATTTAATGTGACTATTTCCCACTCCCCACCTGACCTGTAATTCTCAGATTACAAAGCCATCCGCTACTAACAATTGACTACTTTTAATTCTTTATGACTCATTTGTTTTGAAAGTACTTAGCACCTTAGAGGAGGTTGATGAACTGGCACTACCGAGTCTGATAGACATACGTAGATTCGACCAAAGGCAAAGTTTGCGCTTCATGTCCCCTTGGCTTGGCTGCTGATTGGAGAAGACATTTCGAAGTTAAGTAGTACAATGTGCAGTTCCGACTCGGTTAGTCAGCCGCTCCCTAAAAGGTCCTCTGAGTTGATCCCGTCGAATCCAACACCCATAAACGAGATTTTGGGAACTGTAAGAATTCTTCACCGGTGCTGTTTTTATCTTCTTTTTCTCTTCAGTGAACCATGGGAATACGCATTCTGAGAAAGTGCTTCTGTTGAATGAAAAATGTACAAATCATTATCGTTAGACCGTCCGTCTCTTCATCCCCCTCATTGCCTGTACAAACTCTTCCAACGAGCTAGGTCTCTTTCTTGGTTGAAAGGCATGTAAATTCG